AAGTTAAACTAGATAGATGTTAGATGATAGATAGATAGATGATAGATAGATAGATAGATAGATAGATAGATAGATAGATAGATAGATAGATGATAGATAGATGATAGATTCCCTATATGAAGATTTTTCACATAAGCAAAAGGCTGAGCACAATTAAGCTCAGTTGAGCTCATCAGCTTAGTTTCTTTCCTCCTACCCCTTCCTCAGTCTTCTATTAAAAGCTGTTCTATAATAATAAATGTATGAGAATTTTACTTCTTACACTCCCTAATGTCAGTACACTAACTACAGTACCTTGAGATTATCAAAGGATTTGCTCTTGTTTTTCCTCCAAGCCTGTGTTTTTTTGCTTCTCATTGCTTTTCTTTTTATGATTCAACAGGGCAAGGAAAAATTTCCTCAAACATCTTGCCTTCTTGAGGAAATATTCCTTCAGTAGATGGTTTTTTTCTTTCCATTTATTCTCCATTTTTTGGAAGATCTTGTGCCAAAGAATTGGTATTTGTTTTTTTCATTTGTTTGTTTTTCATTTATTTGTAGCTATTTTTCCCATCTCAATAACTAAGGACTGATAATTTTGTTTGTTTGTTTTATAATAAGGCAGATAGAGTGTATTATCAAGTTTTCATCATCAACTTTTACTTGAATTCAATTTTATACTCTCTGCCTATTGTCTTAATCCTGTTTTTCTTTTTTTTAATAGATCTTTTTTTTTTAAGATTTTATTTATTTATTTTAGAGAGAGAGAGAGAACGAGCAGGAGGCAGGGAGAGGCAGAGGGGGAGGGAGTGGGAGAAGCAGATTCCCCACTGAGCAGGAAGCCAGATGCGGGGCTCCATCCCAGGACCCTGTGATCATGACTTGAGCTGAAGGCAGATGCTTAACCGACTGAACCACACAGGCACCCCCCAATCCTGTTTTTCTGTTTATTATTTTGTTCTACATTGCAAGAGAACAGTTTAATCTCTTATAACTTTTCTCAAATACATTTAAATAACTCAGGATAATTAAATATATAAGCAAGCAACTAGAAGTTCTAGTATGTAGGAAAAACATATAACAAGGGAGAAAAAATTTTTTTTTCAAAAACCAACTCCCATACCCATGGACCATTTGCATAAGAATGAGAAAGGTTGGAGGCTAAAAACAAGAATAATATTAGAATATTCTAAAGGGAAATAATTGGAATCAAGAATCATGTTGCTTAAAAATAAGATTTTGCATTTTTAGCAAATTTTTCAATGATAGTACTGCTTGAACCAAATTGTATTTTCACAGTCCATTTATTAAAACGATATTTTAAAACTGCATTATTATTCAGGAAAAAAAAAGAAGAAAAAAACCACAAGGTGAAATACCAGATGCTTGACTAAACAATGCCTGAATACAACTGTGGAGCTTGTACTGTAGATGTTAGACACATAGGCAGTACAAGGTCTGCAGATTGTGATACAGATTAACCACTCCCTGTCCAGGTAGCTCCTGGCAAATAACACTTTTGTTTTTCACCTTGATTTTCTCATCTGAAAAGTGGAAGAGTAAATAGTACATGTATTACAATCTATAGTGCTATCTTGAAAATTATGAAATTATATCCAACAAATATTATTGAATATATGTTGAAGGCAAACATTTTGCTAGATGATGAGTAATGTAAACTGGTGACAGATTGCTCATAATCTAATGCAAGAAGAGAAGTCTTCTAAAAGTACCTAAGAAAGCCTTATGCAAGTATCCACATAGGCTATGATAAAGAGTCTACTAGTATAAACCAAGTACTCTGGAGACACCATTACGAGTTTGGTGGTAGGATTTAAGTTGTGAGCAGATACAATATTATGGAGTAGATTGAGTTTTGTATTTGTGCATAATTGATTTGACCATCTCCCTCTCATAAATTTTAGCATACTTTATTAGTTTTAATTTTATTCCCTCAAATTAATAAATTATCCCTCATTACTGATAAGAAAATAAAATTAGAAAAAAAGAAAAAAATTGGAGTTACATTATGAACTCTAAATTCAGGTGTTATATAACAAATATACAAAGACCAACTGATACAAAGACCTTAAAAGCTATACAGCAGCTCTGCAATACCTGGAGGCAAGCCTGTTTATTAAAAAATTCCATAGTTTTCAGAATGCTGTATATGTAGTTAACCTACAGATGGCCTGATGAAGTGTTCCCCAAAGGAATGATGGTATGTGGTCTCTGGCCAATACAGCAAGTGTGAAAGTCCTATGGAATTTTTTTAAGTAATCTGTACACCCAATGTAGGGTTTAAATTCATAACCCCAAGATCTAGTCGCATGATGCACCAACTGAGACAGCCAGGCATTCCTGGAATTTTTTTTCCAAGTTTTTATTTAAATTCCAGTTAGTTAATACACAGTGTAATATTAGTTTCAAGTATAGAATTGAGTGATTCATCCCTTACATACAACACCCAGTGCTGAGCACAACAAGTACCCTTCTTAATACCCATCACCTACTTAACCCATCCCCTGCCCACCTTCCCTCCAGTAACCATCAGTTTGTTCTCTATATGGTTAAGAGTCTGTTTCTTGGTTTGCCTCTTTTTTTCGCCTGTGTTCATTTGTTTTGTTTCTTAAATTCCACGTATGAGTGGAATTATATGGTATTTGTCTTTCTCTGACTAACTTTTTTCACTTAACATAATAGTCTCTAGCTCAATCCATGCTGTTGCAAATGGCAAGATTTCATTCTTTTTTATGGCTGAGTAATATTCCATTATATATATCATTTCTTCTTTATCCATTCACTAGTCAATGGACATTTGGGCTCTTTTCGTAATTTGGCTATTGTTGATATTGCTGCTATAAACATCAAGGTGCATGTATCCCTTCAAATTAGTATTTTTGTAACTTTTGGGTAAATACCTAGTAATGCAATTGCTGGATCATAGGGTAGTTCTATTTTTAGCTTTCTGAGGAACCTCCATATGGTTTTCCAGAGTGGCTGCACCAGTTTGCATTCCCACCAACAGTGTAAGAGGGTTCCCCTTCCTCCACATCCTCACCAATTCCTGTTGTTTCCTGTGTTGTTAATTTCCATTCTGACAGGTGTGAGGTGATATCTCATTTTAATTTTAATTTGTATTTCCCTGATGATGAGTGGAGCATTTTTTTCATGTGTCTGTTGGCCATCTGTATGTCTTCTTTGGGAAAATGTCTGTTCGTGTCTTTTGCCTATTTTTAAACTCGATTAATTGGTTTTTGGGTGTTAAGTTTTACAAGTTCTTTATATATTTTGGCTACTGACCTTTTATCTGATATGTCATTTGCAAATCCTTCTCCAATAGAATTTTTTTTAACCAAGAATCCACCAAAAACATATTTGAGCCTAAAAATGTCACACAATAAACATAGCATAGTAGCAACCAAGGATTTTGCAAATTTCTGCCAAAATTCAGTTTTAACTTGAAAATCTGGCACAAGTTTTTCTTCTCTGCTCTAGGACCCACTGCTTTCTACAGATTTTCTCCTCTTGTTGTCCCTAGACAATACCATGCCGTTGAATAAACTCTGCCTGGCTAGGGATGGGCAAGCAAGTGTAACAACAGAAAAACAGAGCAGGGCTCCCAGTGCTAAGCAAAACCCATTGTTGCTTTTCATTTCCTCGGTGCGTTAAGAAAAATTAAATGTTTTTTACCTCTAGGATTTAGAAACATTACAAGACCCATTTAAATTGAACATTAAGTCTTAATCCCTAAATTAAAGTAAAATGCACAATTTGTTTAATTGTAGATATGCTATTAAACAATTTGAGGCACATTTACGAGCTGGAGGAAATGGGATAGGGGAAGGTGTATTCTTTTCTCCCTTCCTTTGACTTCAATGTTATCATTTAAGCAAAACTGCTGAGAATAACCAGTCATTTAAAAGTAATTTAAATATACCTGAAACTGAAAATTTAATATTTCCCTAAGCTCTCACTGATCCATTTCAAATTTTCTAACTATTAAGTCTATTAAAGAGAATCAAAGGACCAGGGCTAATTCCTTGAAGAGGGTATGGGCAGCATATGGAAACTGGAAAAGTATGAGAATGAGTATGATCCCTGACACCAACCTAAGAAACTTGTTCATGGTTCACAAAATTTTAATTTTAAAATTGCAGAATATGATTTTTTTGAGAAAGAACTAGTAATAGTAACTGTGGGTATATATGTATAATCATAATAAACTTGAAAGGCATCAATGTCAATGTTCCCTAAAGCATGAACATAAAACATTTAAACATTTATGAAAGAATACTCTAAGTCTGTTCCTGAAAATGGTTTTGATTCCTGGGCCCTACCCCTTGACCTACCACATCCTTATAGGAAAGAATGGAACCTGTGTATATCCTATTTTAAAACATGTTTGTCAGGGGATTTTTAAGTACCATAAAGCTTGAGACCTATGTTTTTACATTTTATAAATGAAGAGAAATTCAGAATATCGAAGCCACTTGCGCAAAGTAACACAATTAGGAATCAGCAAAAATTCGATTAAAATGTCATGTCCTCTTGATTAGAAGCCCAGAGCCGTCTCCCAGATACGGTTTAGTCTCAGGTGTAACCAACATTGGCTTGCTTTGCTCCTCATTCATGGAGAACTCAGGTGGGCTCCTCTCCTAGGAGGAAGGGCCCAGTGTAGTCACCAGCCCATCCATAGCTCTCAAGGTCATTTCATTTAGCATTTGTATTTGTTGTTTTTTTTTTCTTCATCAAAGATATTTCCTTCATATTGAACCTCAGTAAATGCATGTATGTATTTACTTGTTTGTTTTCCCAGGTGAGGGTGAACGGGATAGCTGAGTGATCTTGAGGGAAGACAACCATGATCATTTTAATTTGCAATAGGGGCCAGATTTGTTCTTTCTGTTCAGAAGCAGAAACAACTATTTTCCATTGAGAGATCTGATGTGCTCATATCAGCTTTCACTGAGGTCTCTGATAGCCATCGACTCCTGGGATTGAGTCTTTTTAACACTTACCTAGTTCTTCCCTCCTTCAATAATGCTTTGGTGTCTGAAAACCTCCCTTAGTGCTGTATTTTCTTTTTGTCATTCACTGGTACATTTTCTTGCTACAGCCTCTCCACATACCCTTCAAAGAGTAACACAGAATACGAGAAAATAAAAATAGACAAAATATTAGCTGACTTACCTACTCAAAACAACCGTTTAAAATCATATTACAAAACACTGATCAAAAAATAACATAAAAATGAACATTTATCAAGTGCCCACCATGTGACAGGAACTGGGCATATTCATCACATTTAACCCCCTCCCCACTTTCCAATGGCCTACTGGAAGTATCCCCCCACATACTTATAAAGAAACTAAGGTTTGGTTACCCAGCAAAAAAAAAACAACATTTGAACCAAGATTTTTTTTTCTGCTTTCCAAATCCTTATTCTTCCCCTATATTTATACCATTGAGTATTTTTTTAAACTTAACTACTAGGAGTTAACACAGAGCAAGTGGAATTACAAGAAAAGGGCTTTTATTCACTTACTCTGAGTCTCCCTGCCTGGATTCTCTTTGATCCCTATTTCTTTGTCAGGAACAGACCTGCAGATCCCTTGCCTTGTTGGAAGATGCAAAATGTGTTTTGTGATTATCATGGGGAGTAGGTAAAAAAAGACTCCAGAGACAGACTCCCTGCATTCAACTCCCACTGCTAGCATTGGTAATATGAGGTTTTAGGCACATTTCCTAATCTAAGCATCTCTTTTTCCCATACTGCACCCTGGGGTTGTTGTGAGGCACAGAGGAGACAGTTTGTGTAAATTAAATTGCTGAATAGAATAAAGCTTCAGCATGCAGCAGTTATAGTGTTATTAGTACAGTTATTATTACAGTTAGCACGAGATGTGTGACCTTGGGTAAATTGCTTAACCTCTCTGAGCTTGAGTTGCATCTTAGAAAAATTAAATAACAAATCTGTCATGGCTGTGTGATGATAAAAGGGTATTAAATTGGATGACTTATATAAGATGTCTAGCAAAATACCTGGGAAAAAGCAGATACATAATAAATGCTACTTTTCCCCTGTGTTTCAGGTGTCTTGTGGATCCTTTCTACCCCATTCCATTATGGTTTTTTATTAATGTAAGGGCTGATCTGAATATGTTGCTCTGTCATGCTCAATACAAAACAAGTAGGCCAGCTGCAACCCTACTCGGGAGGAACTACCCTCACTACAAACTTGATCTTCGTTCTGAAAGCATTAGTTGAGTGATAAAAAGCGATTCTCCCAATCTCACAGTGGAACATAACTTACATGTAGTTACATAACAAACGAAGCATCTGGAGTCCATCCCACTTACCCGCTATTAAAGTTCTGTAGTCTAAAAACTATAGTCTATCATCTCTACCAACAAACCCACAACTTAAGCTTATTAGAGCTTGAACCTCTTTAAGATATAAATATATAAGGGCAGGGGAATGTGGAACACCTATTATTGAATATTGTACTATAGGAGTGATGTGTTTATTAAAAGTGACAAAACTAAATCAACTGTTTTTACTTTCATTAAATTATTGATATATGAACAGTCTACCTATATGCTCTACATTTGGCTTACTAAGCGAGTAAGGAAAGACTGAAAGGAAATGGTCCTGTGGGTTGTCCTACCTTTCCCTTTTGTTTCTGTATCATCATTTTCAACTTAAGTGATTGGCTAATACAAAGTATAATGAGTAAGAAAGGTCAATACAAAATTGACTTAATACAAAGTATAATGAGTAAGAAAGGTAGGATTCCCTGGTTGTTCACGTATGTTAAAACAGAATTACTTTCTTTTTTGTGTTCGATGCACATATTCTAGCTTAAATGCAAATTGGGGCTTCTCAGGTCTGCCTCTGCCCCTTCTTAGAAGTCATTCTAGACATAACATGCTGATCTCATGCTTGCTTTAATTCTGGCTGAACTTCCATGCAGCCTGGCTCAATCAGAATTTTGTGTTCATGGGGCATCACAAGTGGGATGATAAGCAAGGGTGCATATTACAAGCCTGTTTTCTCCCCACCACACATGCGCCATTAACTCATTAGATTTCTCCTATAAAACAAAGATAAAATTATTACAGTTTTTGAGATAGTGACTGCAGAAGCATGGGGCCCTTCTGAGTGAGAGCCCTGTGCACAGGTACAAGTTGCATGCATATGAACTGTCCTTACTCCCAAAATCAGTGTTCTGGCCAGGGCTCCGGGGTGGCTCAGGTGGTTGAGCAGCTGACTCTTGATTTTGGCTCAGGTCATGACCTGAGAGTTCTGAGATTAAGCCCCACATTGGACTCCCTGCTCAGCATGGAGTCTACTTGTCCCTCTTCCTCTCCCTCTTCCTTGCCCACCCTCCCCACCTTGCATGCGCACTCTCTCTCTCTCGTTCTCTCTACCCCAAATAAATAAATAAAAATCTTTAAGAAAAAAATCAATGTTCTGGCCATGTCACTCAGTTACACACAACTTTTGATAAACCTCTGTGGTCTCCCTAATTAGTCCATAATTCCTTAGCCTGCATTTCAGGGTCCTCCACAAACTAGTCAAATTCTCTTTTTCCTAGGCTATCTCACTGTACATCCTTGTGTACTGTGTACTCCAGCCATGCTGAATGTAATCCTAAAATTTCCCACCTCTGCACATATACTCACACTACCAAAGACATACCCACCTTTCAAAGTACAGCACCGATGTCCCCTCTTATTTGAATCTGTCTTCCCCTTCCTTTTACACCATAAAAGTAAATTACACTTTCTTTAAATGGTGGAATATTTTATGTTTACTTCTTGTTAACCATGTAAGGTTCTACCTTGTATCATTGGTGTACTTATGTAAATATCTGAGCTATGGTGATGAGAGCTCTGATCCATTCATTTTTCTAAAAATCTTCCATGGCAGCCAGCTTGAGATAAAGAGACTGAATGGTTAATTTACTTTTGTTCTCTGCTTCATTTCTTTAGACATAACCTGATTTGCTTTCAAGCATCAACAGTTTTAGCAGACTATTTGAAATTTGTGAACTCTACTGAAGCTCTCATTCTGAATTTATTCAATGTCATCATTATTCCTTCGTTCTCCGGTTCAAGCAGGGTAGAACTATAACCTTGAATCTCCTTAAGTCCTAGGATTAAAACTATCACATTTCCTTTGTGTGGAAAAAAAAAATAGGGTTCAGCTTCACATTTTAAAAAATTCTATCATTTTAACATAAAAAAAAAAAAACAACCCTCTCGTTTTAGTGTGATATAATATGATGCCTCTATAATATAGGTTGTATTTACTTTCTGGGGAGAATACTACAGAATCACATCCTACTTTCCTTATATTTCAACAGCTTTCATGCAGTGGAAGTAGGAATGAGCAGGTTACTGAGCCTGCTTGTCACCCATTCATGTGTCTGACAGCTCACATTCACAAAGCTCTAAAAGCCTGGCTACACCTTCTAAAGGAGTGCTTGCATACTTCACATCCAAAAAGCATTTGCCTTCCTATACTTGAAAGTAAAATGTTTAGGTAGTTTTTATTATGGGTAAATAGAAAGATTCATGGTGGCACGCATTAGCATTGTGCAGATGTTTATGTCACAATTTCACATTGAGTGCCATTAAGCCCTTTTAAAACTTAATCTTACATCTCTCGAGTCAAATATGGTAGTACTTGATTTCTTCCCATGATGGATTCAACCTGTTAGGTCTCATTGTTTCCATTGTGAACACACTGTAATAGACTTGAGTAAAGAAAGTTAGAAAATTAATGAACAAAAAATAGAATTAGTTTCAACAACTACATATATATATGGTTGGTTTAAAATATGATATAATTGCAGCATTGTAAACAAAGACCAAAGCCAAAGTCTATATTATATGTATGAGAGACATTGAATGGAGTATATTTTACAATTCTTAACTTTGAAATTAAGTCATAGAATTCCTATTCAAATTTGAGCCACTGGTGTTCAATGAAATTATATTCCAAATGACATTATTGCATTATTTGCATAAATTAATTTTGTCCCAAATAATCCCAAACTATCCCATATATTTGTTTTATTTCATGGTTATGCTTCACCAACAAACCAATCTGTAACTTACAACACAATCCCCTTAATGAATCTTAAAGAAAAAAATGGCAACATTTTTCAGCTTTTCTAAGTGAGAGTATGTTATGATCAGTGAGTGGAAATACCCGTATTGTCTTAGCAAATCTAGCATACAGTAAAAATATTTGTTTCAGACTTATGCAGACTGACACAATACATTGAGATTTCCCAAATTTGCTAGTTCACATCCCATGCATAACAAATAATCCTTTTTATAATAATAACATTAATTCAAAAGAAAGAATGCATTAGCTATGTGCACTGTTTTGGTTCATGCACAGTTATATTGCCAAGTATAAATTAATAGCATGATTTTTTCCTTAAGTAGGTCTATTGTTTAAACACTTTTTAATTTTTAAAAAAAGGAGTGGGCCATATCCCCAGCAAGTACATGTGCACAAATGCACAATAATGGGAAACTCATGGTCCTCCAGAAGATTGTTTGCCCCATCCCCACCAAGGAAATGTGATGAAGTCTTAATGCTAGGATTTGGGCAATATCAAATATATAGATCGCTCCTTCTAAGAGTTGTGAAACAACAAATATTACTGATCATTAATGTAAATGACTTTGAAATAAATAGATCTACTACAAAAGACCATCACATAATTCTATCCCTATGCAACATTCTTTCATTTAGTAAAAAGAACACTGCAAATTTCTTTAAACCCTGTTATCTGTGATTAATCCCAACATTCAGGACTTTAAGTAGAAATTGGAAGGTATGGCATAGGAATCATAAGAGGTATTATTTTACAAGTTTCTGGTCCTGGGTCTTCATCTTTTTTCTGAAGGTAGGAGGAAAAATGTTGACTTGATGACTACAATTCATTTTCCACTCAAGCCTTGACTCATCAGAACAGTTATAAAGGCCTTGAGTGGCACTGGTATTGCAGTGACAGATTTTTTTTACCCCGTAAGATTCTCTCTTTTTCCTTGTCTCAACCAGTGGCAGACTTGGAAGAGTCAGTTCAGAGTGCAGTATTAGGTCTGCTCTCAAATATTTAGCCTACTAGAGAGGTTTTCCTATGAAGCTTAATCTTGGAACTCCCATTTACCTAAATGCTTCCAAAAACTTTTCCAATGGCCCTTTGCCTAGTTCAGAAGCAGCTGTTAGCCCTGTGTCCTGCAGGCAATGGTCTGGGGCTCAAAACTCCTGGTTGTATTATTAGCTCTGCCAGGCAGTCATTAACTGTGCTCTCATGCAAGTTGCCTTCTCTGCCAGTCCTCTCTTACTTTGTGTATAAAATAAACTGTTTGATCTAAACGAAGTCCAAGATTCACTTGAGCATTAGATAGATTGCATTTGGCCTCTCTCAAGTCTTCTCTTGATCAGAATGTCCAAGACCATATAATGTAGAGATGTGGCCTTTGTTTATGGTATTCCCCCATTCACTCACCCAGAAAAATCTCAGTGGCAGCAGGAATGAGAACATAGGCCTCCGAGCCACATGGAGCCACGAGGCACATGTGGTTATTTTGCAACTTAACTAGTTAGTGCAAATGAGAAACTGAATTTTAAATTTTGTTTAATTTTAATGAATTCAAATTTTAAAACTGCTGCTCAATTCACTTGTTGGACAAACTTAAGCATCTTTGCAGCAACTTGGATATCTGAACTGCCTTTTTCAACTTTAACTTTAATGAAATTTAAATACAGATCAAGTCCATAGATAGAAATTTAGCATTCAAATTGAAATGTCCTGTTAGTCTAATAAAAACACCAGATTTAATGACTCAGAAAAAAAAGAGGTAAATAATCGCATTACTAATATTTATTTATATATATTTTGATTTTTATTTTTATTTTTTTTACTTATATATATAACATTTAATCCATTATCAATATTGACTCGATCTGAACAACTGAGATAATTATTTCCATTTCACAGAGAAATATACTTATATATATTTTTAAAATAATCCCTACACCCAACGTGGTGCTCAAACTCATGACCCGGATATCAAGAGGCAGGTGCTCTACTGACTGAGCCAGCTGGGCGCCCTTCAATAATATTTATATTGACCACATGCTGAAATGACAATATTTTGGAAACTGAGTTAAATAAAGTTTAGCATTAAGTTAATTTCAGCTATTTAGGTTTTTTTTTAGACATGTGGCTACTAATAAATTTGAAGTTACAGTTGTGGCTGTCATATTTCTTTTGGATAGTGTTCTTCTAAAGAAAGACAAATGTAAATGATCCTTGTGTATCTGGTTCTGAGGATGTTTGGATTTGATTACTAACCTTTTAAGATTTGTGTGTCCTTAAGTTTCCTCTTTTCCTTAAATATCTCCAATGGCAGGGGGTTGCACTGGTGTGAAGGATGAAGGTTGGCATTAACACATAATTGAGATTCCACAGTTAGAATACCAATTTTTAATATTCATAAAGCTTAGGAAAACTTTGCTGTGGATAGTCTAATATTAACCTTAATGGAACACAGTATGGAGAAAGTATCACTATTACCTTTGTGTAGATGAGAAGAATGAGTCTCAGAAAGGTTAATGCTGGGCGCCTGGGTGGCTCAGTTGGTTAAGCGACTGCCTTCAGCTCAGGTCATGATCCCAGGGTCCTGGGATCGAGTCCCGCATCAGGCTCCCTGCTCCGCGGGAAGCCTGCTTCTCCCTCTCCTGCTCCCACTCTCCCGCTTGTGTTCCCTCTCTCACTGTGTGTCTCTCTATCAAATAAATAAAATCTTTAAAAAAAAAAAAAATCAGGGGCGCCTGGGTGGCTCAGTCGTTAAGCGTCTGCCTTCGGCTCAGGTCATGATCCCAGGGTCCTGGGATCAAGCCCTGCATCGGGCTCCCTGCTCCGCGGGAAACCTGCTTCTCCCTCTCCCACTCCCCCTGCTTGTGTTCCCTCTCTCGCTGTGTCTCTCTCTGGCAAATAAATAAATAAAATCTTTAAAAAAAAAAAAAGAAAGAAAGAAAGAAAGAAAGGTTAATGCTATGCCCTAGGACAGATAGCAATTAGGAGATACCATAGAATCCAGTTGGCACCCTCGTTACCCCTCACATTTTGATTATTGAAGTGACCTCACACCTCCCCAACCCCACCCTCCTTATCCTGAGTGCTCCAAAGTCCCTGAGTATAATGGACTTCAAATAAAATTGATGGCTAAGTGCTCAGGCTTTGTTGTGGGCTGCTGGGGTTTGAATCTGACTTATTTGATTGTTCACCAAAGGCAAGTATCTATATTTTTAAACCCCTCTCTGAGCTGATTTCTTTTTATTTTTTTTAAATTGTGATTAAAAAACACACTATATAAAATTTCTCTCCTAATATATTTTTAAGTGTAGAATACGGCATTGCTAACTATAGACACATTGTTGTACGGCAGATCTCTAGACTTTTTTCATCTTGCATAACTGAACCTCTGTAATCACTGAACAGCAACTCCCCATTCCTCCTTCTGCAGCTCCTGGCAACCACCATTCTACTTTCTGCTTCTGTGAGTTCGACTACTTTAGATACCTCATGGTATTTGGGCTTCTGTGACTAACTTATTCCACTTAGCACCAAATCTTCAAGTTTCATCCATATTGTAACATATGAAAGGAGTCCTTTTTAAGGTTGGGATAATAGTAGTAAGCACCTTCTAGATTAATTGCAAATACCAAATGAAAGATGCTGCAATATATTAAGGGGTCATTTTATCTTAGCTTTGAATACTTTTAATAATTAATTCCATGAACTTTGGAAAACAGCTATTGAACCTCTTTCCATGTGGCAAAAAGAAGAAGGCACGTTCCCAGAATCAGAGGGTGTGCCCTCAGCCTTTGGCAAAAGAACACTAGTATCTCTCATCGCCTGACTAAACTTTAGATAGGCTTCCTCCTGATTCTAGGCCCCAGACTTCTTTTTTCTTCAGGCCTTTACTTTAGAAAACTTATAGTTGTAAATTCTTTCCCTGCCCCTTTGAGACCTATGTAAAACTTTTTTTAAAGGCTCTTGCCAGTTTTAAGACTCCGGGATGTCTTTGTTAAGGACCTGAGAGCCATCCCTTTGAAATAATGATCATCAAGCAAGATATCACCTTATCTCTAAGGCCCTGTGGGATAATAGAAACCTAACTTTGATAGGCACCAATTAGCAAACACAGACGGCTTAATCACAGAGCAAAGCATTTGCAAATTTAGGAATAACTCAGTATGCTCCACACCTTCCACTGACAGACGTTTCCCAAAGTTCTCCAGTATTTTTCCACTAGCTCAGCCTCCTTATTTGAGCTGAGTTAAATTCAGACTTTAGTTCTGGCCTGTGTCGCCTATTGTAATAGCCTTGGATAAAATATTCCTTGCCTGTTTCACATTGCTTGGTACAATTTTTGCTTTAATAAACAAAATATGTTAGTATATAAACATTTTTATAAAGATAATAACTATGATAAAATTTAAAATCAAGGGCTGTTTTTTTTTTTTTTAAGATTTTATTTATTTATTTATTTGAGAGCGAGCGAGAGAGAAACAGCATGAGAGAGGAGAGGGTCAGAGGGAGAAGCTGGCTCCCCACTGAGCCGGGAGCCCGATGTGGGACTCAATCCCAGGACCCTGGGATCATGACCTGAGCCGAAGGCAGTTGCTTAACCAACTGAGCCACGCAGGCGCCCGGCTCAAGGGCCGTTATTAAGAAAAAAACTAATAAAAATAATTCTAAGTGAAACTAGATAAACTAAAGTACATTATTTCACCAAAAGATTATAAATTAGTTCACACAAACTGCTTGCTTTGGGGTTAAAAAATAACTAA